ATGCAGTATATTATTAATAGTTCTAATAGTCTAATAAAATATTTCTAATAGTCTAATAGTGCGCGATGCAGTATAATCTATAAGAAACTCTATAACTATAGTCTATACGAGAGTTTCTTAAACTGTGGGTCGCGAGTCCCATGGGGGTCATGGATCCTACAGCAGGGGGTCGCAAAAATTTTAGCAGTTTTGATATTTCTTTAACTTATAATAGTTTTACAATTACCAAATGTTTTCACACAATGTATCTGAAAATAGACAAAGATAAGACCATACAGGAAAAAAAAAAAGTTTGGACGCCTTCTTTTTATAATATAAACGTTCATTTTACCTGCTTCGCACGTGACGCTATCATTTCATCTATTATTTATTTAAAATTTTCACTTTGTTCTGTGCCTTAAAATTAGAAATTAAAGTTAATAACCCCAAACTGCAATAGTAGATTACAGTAAAAGTGAAAAAAAATGACAGTTTCACTCATGCGTGTGTCGGATTTGCGTAATGCTTATGGGGTCCTACAAAAGTTTCGTAAATATTATAGGGTCCTGTGATCGCGAAAAAATCTCAGCGATAAAAAGGGGTCGCGACTGAAAAAAGTTTAAGAAGCCCTGCTCTATAACAAAGAAGACTGAATCATCAGTTTTCTACATAGACACGTGTTCAGAACAGGAGGCGTTAGTTAATCAAACAGATGAACTTGTAAAGCAATATTAAAAAATATTTCTCAGAATAGTATATCAACTCTCCGATCTCTCTGTCTTGTGTGTTGCGTCTCTGATTACCGGTCTGAAGGCCAGACTGTTCTGGACCTTTTCCGCAGGTTGAGTATTAATATTGAGTTTGCTTACTTAGTGTGCTAGAGCTCCGCTCTTCCTAGCGTAGGCCAACATTTTTGGAAGTGCTTACCGTCTGTCTTGAGCAAGCCTATAATTAGAAGGATGTGAGGGCCGCAGTCAAATTCAGTAATACATTTCAGAGTCTTGTGACTGCGTTAAGTTTGTGCTTGATGATTACTGCTTAAGCTTTGCTATGTAAGTGACTTCGATGATTTGCAATATTGCTCACGTATCAAAGAGAATTTCATCTTGTTTCTCATATTTCCTTTGAGATATTTGTAGCTGTTTATCTTGCTGCAAGAGCTAATATTTATCTTAAAAGTCTTCTTGTTAATCTGGCCAAGTTATATACAGAGATGTCTGCGATTCCGTAGCACGCAACAATATAACCGGAAGGTTTCAATAAAATGTTAAAACATTGCTCATTTTGATATGTAGTTTTGTTTCAGGAATTAATATATTTTATTAATACGATGGGATGAATAAAGTATTTCTTTTCAATAAATGGTAAATTTCGCTATTTTACATTAGTAATAATAACAAATGAAAATCGATGCACAAAGGGTAACGCTGGATTCCTTCCCGTTAGAAGAAAATTTATTTTCACTCAAATTCTCTGGTATAGTTTTAAATCCAAAATTAAAATCTGTTTGAAATTTCAGAGGCTTTGCCATTTCGAAAATGTGTAAATTAGATGAAAAATTGCTATTACTCTTTTGCGCCTTCAGTGAAGTTCTAATTTAAGTTTCTTATTTTAAGTTTTTTTAGGTTTCTAATCGAAGACGGTAAAAGTAGCTTGCGATTTTCCCAACAAGTAATTTACAGTTATTTTAAGATATTTGCTACATTTGTATTTCAGCTACATTTGTATTTCAATTTCAACTACATCTGTAGTTCAATTTTTATTACAAGGAGAATTTAATTTACGTTTTTAAGTTTCTGACGGTAGCTCATTAAATATATTAGTTCATTGTATTTATAAAGATTATTTAAAAAGGCATTTAAAAGAACCTGTAGTGGAAACATTTGTCAGACCAGAATATCCAGATTAAGGACTATTAAATTAGCTATTCTATAACATTAAATTTCTTGATGTTTATTGTTTAATTGTCTGCTTGTTAATAAATCTGTACAGATTATTAGATTTCACTAAACAGAAAACCGGAAAATTCAACAGAGCCTTAGCCTTGACTTGAACCATGAATATTTCAAAGGTATCTGTATGTGCTAACTACTTTCATCTCGAGAGTCCTCAAGGAGAATATTATAACTTCTTAAGTTCGCTCCAACTTGAATGGCAACTGGATAGGATGAAAAGACAAGATCCAGATAGTGATGAGTAGTTCGGGGGATACTATCTAGACTATTAGTTTTCTCGAAGTAGAAAACGCGGAAACTTAAACTGTGCCATTTACAGAATTCAAATCCAAACTATGGATCTTCCAGAGCCAGCTGGACCTGTTACCACTTACATATTAAGAGTGCGCACAGAGAACGAGGTAATTCCTTAGAAAGTTTTACAAATTTAATTTCTTAATTTATGAATTCTATATAAATAAGTAAATATTTTTAATTTATTAATGGGAACTTCACTTAAATGCTAAAAACTTATGCATCTTTTGTATTGATAGCTACATTTATGCAAGAAGAATTCTGTAAATTTAGTCGATAGGCATTTGACTGGAGTTACGGATTTCCTGTTCTTTATCCTATATTTGCTACATCAAACTATATTTTGAATCCCTAGAATATTTGTGAACTAAAACGCAGAAAATATTAAACTCAAAAAGTTTCTTTCTAAAATTTCTTACATCTCTCTTTAAGGATGACGCAGTTCCGTGGTGAAGAAAAATGGTTTGTCATTTCGAAGTAATTTTCTTCCAGAATCGCCTTTCATTTTCCTCTCATAGTAAAAATGAAAGGAAACAAGAAAAATGATAAAAAAGGACTCTTCCCATTACGTCCAGTCTAATGTATTGTCACTAAATGCTTTTCTCTTCTCTTAATGGTGAAATATGTAAGATAGTCTCTGATTCGCCGGGGCGAAAATGCTAGCTCCTATCTGCACCGTCCGTCTCCGTACAAGGCAAAACGCGTCCGGAAACATGACAGCCGAACGCTGTAGTATGCAATCATCTATGTTGCTATGGAAACTTGCGATAACATGGTGACTCGCTGTCTGTGATGCTCACAGTTTTAATACTGTCACACAAGTGGAAGTAATGGACTTCCTCTTTAGCGTGAATATTACGTATTTTTTCCTTACACTGATTTTTGAGAAAGCTTAGAAAGAGCGTTTTTTTCCCCTGGAATGAAATGGGCATCTTAATAAAAAATACTTTAAGCAAGATTTTTATTTATATACATAATTTAGTGACACCATTTAAGTTTCTTTTTCTTACATTAAAGTGTTTTGGATACATTTTTAATAGCACTTTGTTTTGAAATATAGTAGAGTTAAAAGAATAAAGGTTAACATATTTGATTATTCATACTAAATCGAAATTTAATACAGGGATACCGATAACAAAGGTTTTCATAAATTTCTGAATGTGCATTAAACCTGATGAATATTAAGCATACGAAAAGAATTACACGCAAAATGGAGAGGGTTGTTTTCGTGAAGGGCGTCTTAAAGGAAACTGGCTATATTTATTTTAAATTTCGTTCTGATTCTTTATAGAGTTAACGGAAACGGTGGTAATTTCATTTGACTCAGGGTCGAATTTCCGAAAATACGTTATTTTATGCAATCATCTATTCCTCGTTTTGTGCACATAATATCGGTTGCCCTCAGTCGTGCACCCTGGGAAAGAGGTTCGGTGATGTGTTAAATAACCGATGGGTTCGGCCATTCCTGACGAATGCATAACTAGAGAATGTCCAGTCACTGACTAAAAACAAACACGAAGCAAATCATTAAAAACTACAGGTAGCAGTTCTATTGCCTGGTATAGAACTTGGAAAAAACTACCAGTATTCTCACATTTTAGCCACTTCCAAGCACCTGAAAAAAGCAACTATTATGTAAATTAATTCAAAACTTCATTCAATCGAATATTGATTAATTGGATCTTGGAGTACCAAAAGTGTTGCAGCAACATATCAATGAGTCTAAAGCCAGGGATCTTCAAATCATGTACATATTATTCATGCAAAATTATTCATCCTTATTCCCTCGATAATTTTCAAGTACCCGTTGTCAGTGATAGATTATGCCAATTAACAATTGCATTCGACTGAATATTTCATCTGGTATTGCTAAATTCCTCAAAATTTTAAATGTCATGGATTACGTTAAATTATTAAAAATATTTTAAGAAAAATATAAATGACATTTCGCTATTTAAAGAAATCTAGAAATTTCAGGCCAACCGCTGGCTGATGTTGAAAATATCCCAGAAGAGGATATGTTAAGCTGGAAACTTAACAATATGTGAACTAACAGCTGATCTTCAAATTTTCATTCATAACAAATCAGTATATAACGGATTCTATATTTCAGTGAAGGACATGAGCAGAAAAAAAATCCAAAGAAGATCCCTTCTTGTTTTGAATGAAACAGCTATTTAAATGTAGAGTAAGTAATATTGGGAAGGAAGTACGAAGTAATACATACCAAATACTTAGCCGCGATCTATTTATATCTTTAACTGGAGGAAATAATTGGAAAGATCTGACTGATTCGGACCAAGGTTCTATTATCTTATCGAATCTGCATTTGAAAAGACATATTTGAACAGCTATTACAGTTTTCGAAGCTGAGAGAAAGTGATGACTCAGCTACATATATCCTATTGAGATTCAAGCCGCTGATTTTCCGAACGTTAACTGCTCTGCTATCAGTTACACCAAGAGAGCCCACAAGCAGAAATGAGATAATTCCTTAAGTACTATAAGTATTTCAAAGTATTATTTGTAAGCATTTCAAAGGAGAGAAATAAGTTTACTCAGAAAGAGAAACGATTCATTAAGACCTTGATATTTAGTATCAATATTATGTTCTGGAAGAATAATGTAGTTTATGAATTCAGCTGTAGTTTTGATCTGTTGTTAAATCCCTGTTACTGTCTGTGACATGATTAAGTGAACAAAATTGTCATTGACACAGAATGAAATGATGATGAGAGAATTAAATGATTAAAAGAGTAGATACATATTTACCTCCACGAGACCTTGTAATATCCGAACAAAAATAACCACTGCCGGATGAATTCGTGCAGCACCTGGCAGCAGCATGTTCAGGAAAGAGGAGACGCATATCGCAGTACCAAATACTCTGCAAAGCAAATACATGTGCATATATTGAGTAACTTTTGCCAGTGTTATACGAACGTAAACTAACAAATTCACAAGTGGTAAATAATTCTATTAAAATTCATAAATTACAAAACAGATGTAGAAAACCGTAGGATTCCATTAACGAAACTCTCAAGAGATCGAGCTTGAAGAATATTATCTTTCTGAGTCTTCAAAACAAGAGTAAGTAATATTGTGGTTAAAATAAGTTATTTTAAATATATTGTTACATTTTACAGTTTAAGTTTACGAAGCTTATACAAAATATAAACATTAATAAAAAATTGTTAAGTTCATCTCCTGCATTTTAGGCTGACTGAACAAAATTCACTACAGAAGAAAAATTACTTTAGAACTTTCCCTGCCTTATTAATATCATCTAATTCAAACAAACTTAAGTTGACATATTTTAAGAAGAGAAATTACATACACATTAAAGAATCTAGTTACTTACTTTTAACACTCGCATTCATTACATAGTAAAGAGGTTAACTAAAATGAAACGAAAAAAGAATATATAAAGTGGAGTAGAGTAAGTGAGCAAACGGTGGAAGTGCGTATATAGGTTATTTTTATTATAATACGAGCGAAATGACTCTAGCTAGTATGTAATAATCTACTATAAAAGTTAGTATGAACTATTCAATATAGAAGTCGCGTAAGAATAAACATGTTTTCCTCGCTTAAATCAACCAAGCATCTTATAGGAGGTTTGTTAACAATTCTGCCCGAACCCCGTTGCACATGAAATAAGGTTTCAAGCATTTTTAAATCACATTTATGCTCTTGCTCCGCTTTCGAGAAAAGTACAGAGTAGTTGATATTTTGTACAATATCCTATTAAAATGAACATTTATGAGTGAGTTTAAAATCTTATTAATTAAATAGTAAAACTGTGCAAAGCGCTTGATACCGACAGCTACGAATTGCTATAAATTTTGTACGTAGATAGATGATTTTAGTGCAATTATATGTGAAACTGTTGTATTTTTCTGGATAATATAACATGAAAATCTACATAGACGACGCTCTGTCGGAAATGCAAGCATACAGGGGATATTATTTAACATTTAGCAAATGGTTATTCCGCCAGCTATAAGATATCGTCAAGCTGGCAACGGTTTTGGCGACTAATTTTTGTAGCCAAATATGGCGAAAAATTGCAAAAGTCGCAAACTTGGGGACATTTTGGTCCGGTCACTGTATAACTGTAATGGATATTCTAATTAAACAACTTTAATCGATGTTCTGTATAATTTTAACCGTATTCGGCCCTCATATGCCTTTCAGTAATTTCGAGAAGCAGAAAGTTTTAAAAATATCTCGGCAGCCGGGTGAAAATTATGTAAGACCAGAGAGAAGATCTGCTCTCAGTTGTTATTCAGAGTGAGTTCGAAGTACTGAGATACCTTCCGATTAGCATCGCTCTTTAAATAAGCTTTGCATTGCGTTGTGCTTAACATTCTTAGTAGTGTGATGCGTAACTATTGTTTGTACTCTGTGATACCGTGAAGAGTTGTACGACTGTTTTAGTGGAAGGTTGCACAAAAAACAAAGGTTCCACAAAGAGTTTGCGAAGACTTCTCTTGGTAAAATCAATTTTATCAAGCTATCATCAATTCTGTCCGCATTCAATCCATTACGAACCCTGCACGCGCGCAACAGCATTTACACACTAGACTGAAAATATACAGGTTTAAATTCTAACTTTAAAAAATCAGTCTGCACTTACCCTACTACACCATAAATAAAATACTACTTCACCTTAACCTTATGTTTTCCGTTAAGAAAATGTTTTTTGTTTAAACTTTCGTTGCTATTTATTGTATTGGCTGAAATCTGTACTCTGCCAGCCTCTGCTTTGGAAATACAATATACATGAACCAGGTTCTTACTTCCATGCTGCAGGAAGGTTTCGTGGCGAATCGGTTTCTTTAGATGTCAGTTTGTGCATCTCCAAAACCTATGTGGTGAGTAGAGTGAGAGCCCGTTAATCATCTTCTGAAAAGAGCTGAGACAGCCAGACTTTGAACTAGAGTAAGATCCACTCATCGGAAGGAAACACATTTTGGGGCTCACCACATCCCGTGTCTTATATGGGATGCCCCATAGTATCTTTAATTAGACAGAGTGGGAGGGAAATAACAGGCTATATTATCGCTATTTATTATACCTATGAGTTCATTAAGCTAAAAGATAGAAAAATGTAACTATGATATTTTACATGAATAAAAGGATTTTAAAAGGATTTCAAAGAGTAGCCTAAGGTGCTGAGGTGATGAAGGTTATTCTAAGGGGGTGTTTTTAAAAAATGAAAGGAATGATTTTATGCAATAAAAAATCTGAAAGCTTTTAGATTTTAACGTCACACCAGAGGTTTTCTTAAGTTCTTCAAAATTTGCTGAGCTCGCTGTTTACCAGTCTGTTCTCGGACTCACTGTACAACTCACTGTACCTGCTCGTACAACGTTTTTGTCTTTTAAACTTTGTTTTTAAACATTGCTTTTTCCGCACTTACACCACATAAAATTCAATAATAAAATAAAACAAAATTAAAAGAAATATATTGTAGAATTCCCAGCTGAGTAGTATTGCCATGCATTTTTTTAATTTTTTCAGTCTTTTCTTAGTTCATTACATCAAAGTTCAGTTTTCTTAACAAGATTGTCTACATAAGGTATTTCTTTTCTTTTCTTTTTTTACTTTATTATTTAATTAATTCTCTTCAAACTCACGCCACATAAAATTCAAGGGCAAAATCACTAAATTTTTTAAAAGCAGTGTACCTTCCCGAAACAGTGTTAAGGGTTGCCATAAATTTATTTTTTAGTCTCTTCTCAGCTCATAACATTAATACTCAGTTTTGTAGTAAGATGCATACACAACGTTTTTGTTTTTATTAACTTTTTGCCTTTGTAACTTTGTTCTATATTTAGTCCGACTTCAAAAGAGCAGTATATGCAATTAGTATATACATTATAACTACCTGATAGCGAACAGAATTTAACAAATTTAAGAAGCTGCAAATACCAGCCCGTTATTATCTCACGGATCAATGAACATATGAGATACAAAGCAAACAAGAAGCTGCACAAGACACAAAAACAGTAAATGGCGACATACAATTTATACTATATTTGAGAAATCACTGCACTACAAATGTACCACAAAAAGCAGTAGTAATATGTCTGCAGGAATGGTATGGAAGACGATTTTCAATAATATGCCAAAACGTGATATCAGTAGAATAATAGCTATTCACAAATAACCTGGATTCTTTCAGGTACTGATTGTTTTTACTTCAGAAGCATTTCATCTGAATCTGTGGAGAATTCTGAAATGGTAAGCATTATTTCTTCAAATGCCCAGTAGCAAAAAACTTCTAGATTGGTACTTTAACAAATAACTCTAAGATGTATTGGTTTCCTTGTAAGAAGGAAAGAGCTGGAGAGAAACATCTTCTAAATAATGCATATGGTAACAAATATAGTCACAGATTTATGTCATCTCTAATGAGGAATGCTTCATTCGACATAAATTCCAATATCCCGAACAGTTATCGCTATTATTCTAGCCTCATGTTTCTTGCGTACACAAAATACGGTGATTAGTTTCGCTTTAGAAATTACTTCTAAAACTCACAACCCGGCAATAAGAGTAACTCCTCATAAGTAGTACTATGCTGTCTAATGCATAAGAGTCGCACATATGCAAGATATTAGATATCACAAATCTTCTCAAGAAGTATAGCACCCCGAGAAAGAGTTATACTTACAGAAGGTTGCAGCGAAAGAGCAATACTTGTTCACCCCATGTTAAAACACTGGTGATATTATTTGTCATCAACTACCTATGTTCAGCTTCTTCAGGTTTAGCATCAAGCAATTACTTCCTTTTTCCGAAATTGAAGGAACATTTATATGGGACTGGCTTCTCTTCAGACAGTAATATGAAAACAGCCACCGAGAACTGGCTCAATGGGCAGGGACGTAATTTCTATCAAGTCGGGTTAAACAAGTTGGCCATGCGTTCAAATAAATGCCTAAATACACTGCTGGCCGTTAAAATTGCAACACCATGAAGGAAAGCAAATACAAAAAACATTATTGCAAGTAAACAGTACGGCATGAAGACAAAATGATTAAATTTGTAAGCATTTTGGTTTACAGGGGTGCGAAATTAGTAGGAACAACTACCACTACTAGCAGCTAAAACGGCCCATACCCCATTAGGCATCGAGTCAAACTGGGCTTGGATGACAGAAATGGGCAACTCAGTCCATGCTGCTTCAAGTCCATGCACACGTCATCAATCGTATTAGTCGAAGAGGGGTAGCGGACCACTCTCTCAGCAACCCATCACCAGATGTTTTCAATGGATGACAGACCTGGAGACTGTGCAGGCCAAGGCACTAATAGAATACTCTGTGTATCGACAGAGCACAACCACTGCACGTAAAATATCAGAAATGTACTCATCTTCGTTCAAATTACCTTCTATTCGAACTAAATACACTGGGTATCATAAATAAAGGAAAAATCACAAAAACCACGATTACTGAAAAAGTTAGAAGTAGAATTTTTATGAAACTTACCCACAATATACAACACATAATAAAGTATCAAATAACATAAAAATAAATTACCAGACAATTATGGTACTATAGAAATTAGCACATGTAAAATGAACAAATCGAAGGTGTCAGTTTGCTATAGGAAAAGTAATTTCAATAGGGAATATGGTCGCCTCTAGAAGCAATACAGCAAATACAGTGATGCGTGATGCTTTCAATTATGCGGTCTATCAGTTCCATAGGAAGCGAGAGCCATTGCTCTTGCAAAGCTGTTGCAAGCGCGGCAAGGGTCTGAGGGGGCAGACTGAGAGCAGCTAGACGTCTCTCTAAATCATCTCAAACGTGCTTGATAGGATTCAAGTTCGAGAATTGAGCTGGCCACTCCATGCGCATAATTGTGTCCTGTTGAAGCTAATCATCTACGATGCGAGCCTAGTGTGGTCTTGTGTTATCGTCCTGTAACAGGAAAGCATCACCTATTGCCCCGGCACATGGGCGCACATAAGCATCAAGGATGTCATCTCTATAAATCGCAGCATTCACGGTTTTCGTTGGAAAGACATGGAGGACTGTGCGTCCATCCAAAGAGATGCCACTCCAAACACAGACACTGCCTCTTCCGCATGCATCTCTTTAACGGATGTTTTACGGATGATAACGGGTTTCAGGTTCTCTCCATATCAAATAACGCCTACTATCGCTTTTTAGACTAAACCTGGACTCATCCGTAAAGAGAACAGCCCTCCACTGATCAAGCGTCCAGTGGACATGTTGTCGTGTCTACTGCAAACGGTCTCTCCTATGGCGTGACTTGAGCGGCACGCAAATGGCTCGCATACAGACCACCTTCGTGAAGCCTTCTACGCACAGTTGACGTTGACACCAACCTTCCGGTGGCTGCAGCAAGCGAGGATCTAAGAAGAGTCGGAGTAGCGGTTCTATTCCTGCGGGCACATAATGTCAAATATCGGTTATCAGCGCTCGTCGTAGCAGTTGACCGTCCTTGGCTGAACCTCCTAGAGGCCGAATCTGTGGTTTAAAATCGCCTGTAAAGTCTATGAACCACAGAAGGACTCACATTTAGTCCATCTCGGCCACTTCTTGCTTTGACATTATCCTGCCTCTAGTCTCCCAATGGCTTCTCCATCGTAGTTCTGCAGGCAAGTGATGCCTGGAGGTCATTGTTACGAATTGGCTATCCTCAGATTTCTGATGTCACTATCACAGTGAAATATGTGGGGCTTTGCTCTCAAACATGGGTGGCTTTTTATTCTCCTCGCAGATAACGTATTCCGAGTGCAGCGCCACTAATTTGCATATTGCAGTTTTACTCAGCTACTCTTACTTGGCAACATATTCAAATTTTACACGGTTTGGCTTATTTTTGAGGGAGTTATCACTGTTTTTGTGATTTTTCCTATGATAACCACTGTATGTGCGTGTAGTGTTCCCAGTGACTGCCCAAACCATCACAGCAGGTTTGGGATGACTGCCCAAACCATACCCTTATGCTGGTATTGAATGCAAGCAGGTGACATGCGGTCTCCTCAGAACTGCAGACACGTATACGGCCATCAGAATACTGCACGTAGTGTAAGGATCTTAAGTTTTACTAACGTTTATTTTATTTTAAATCTTTACTATCACTTCTTATTTTCTACTTCCGGCCAGAATTATAAGCGTTAACGTATTTATGCAAAGTTTGTCTGGCGAACGCCAAGTATTTAAGTTGTGGCATTTGCCAAGCGAGAGAGAGGAAGCAGTTAGTCGAAGCAGGCCGCTTACCTTAGAAGTTTTACTCAGTTGCTGGTTGCCTTCCAGGCCAGAGGTTTAATCCTCTTGATAACTTTAAACGTATTGTAGTGTTCACAGTTCTCTGTACTACATACGGCTTCCTGTTAATATAAGGCCAATCTTCCACGTTTATTATTTTAAAGTCAAATTAGAGTTTAGTTTTATTTTTTTATATTTTACGTTTAGACCACAAGTAGTGGGTCTTTGTATTCCGAAGTACGGAAGTTATTGTAAATAGAGAAAAATAAAGGGTTTTGTATACCCTTCTTGTGTATCCTGTCTACTTCCCACAGTTATTGAACATAGCTTTAGTAAGCTCTGTGTTCCGAGTCAGGTCCTTGCATGTTCCCGAAGAAAGTAAGACGGAACATTGAACCTGATAGTAGAACCGGGACTCGTTTGAAAAGCCGACATTGTGCCACTCCTGTACCCAGCTTTCTCGTTTGGCACACTAGAGCCGCCATCTCCCTCTATGCTGCATTGTCAAGGGAAGCCGAAGTAATAGTCACCTTGCTGATAGTCTGCGCTGCTGCAAACGTCGACGCACCTTACGAGCTAATACTGGGCGTGTTTGCAGCACGCCCAGTATTAGCTCGTAAGATGCCCATTTTCTGATGTGATTCCGTGATGCGGTCGTACGGTTTTGAAGAGTTGACCTCGCGATATGTCTGTCTCTCTGACGTTAGTCATGGGAGGGCGTTGAGAGCCTTCATGCCTTTCAGTATGACCCTCAGCAATTCATTGATTCCATACTCGCATGAAAGTTGTTGGATGTCGACCAGTGCCACCGGCGATATCATGGAACAATAAGCTACACTTTCAATACGCAACGATCCTGCCTGATTTCGAAACTTGGTGGTAAGCAAATTTTCTCTTCTTATTCGAGGTATAACACGATATTTTGAGCAAACGCCAACCTTATAAAGCACTTTCCGAATGAGAGATCCTTTACATAACTTTTCTTTTATTCAGTGCTTCAGATGTCGTTTCTCCCTCCTGCGTCGTCTAAATGCGCTGAAATACTAATCATTTGCATAGACCAACTTTTTCATTTCATGTGATTTTTGACGTTCGTCAGATCAGTGAAATTTGGTTAAACTGATAGGAAAGTATAGATTTTAATTCCCTTCTGTAGTTTCGTTCAATTATTAATAAATAATTTTTTATTACACTTGTACATTTTTATTTTGATCCACCCTCGTAACTTCCCAAAATCATATTCTTCCTCTCTCTTTTCCCAAGTGATATATAATTACTGTTGTTCCTATTTATAATATATTTTTTTAATAACGGACGCAGCTTTCTGTTATGTGTTAGCAATAATATTTATAAAATAGTAAGTATTTTTGCATGAATTCTAATGAAAATCTGAAATATTTCAAATATCAGAATTAATGTAAAAAATGCTATCAAGATTTAGCAGGAAAATATTAACCTTTAATGTGAAAATACACAATAAGATCCATATATTTCTGGAAACAGTAACTCATTTTCACGAAAAAAAAAGAAGTATTTATTAATAAATTGATTTAAACTGTATTATTATGCTTCTATTACATTTAATATGAGTAAAAATAATTCAGTTTAGAAAGTTGATTTTGTTTTTAGGAATGTTATTTTTTTAAGAGCATTAAAAATGAGTCTTAAATAAGACAAAAAGTTTTGCACAACTCTATTCTTACTATTTCAGATTTGGTTTTAGTATTATAGAGCAAAAATACAGAAAATTATTCTCGATTTCAAAATTTTGGAACAACTAATTTGAATTTCAAAGAAACAAAGTATTTTTTCCGTTAGATTTACCTTTACAGATAAAAAGTGAATAAGAATTTTATTATTCATAATACGAAAAAACTTGACTCTATAGAAACATTAATGTTTTAGCTTGAAGCAGGAAATGCGAAAAACGTGCAGAGTCCACCGGGACTCGAAAGCAGGATCTTACTAGTTTTGCTAGTCAGTCGTACTTTCCAGTTACACCAGGAAGTCCCACTGGAAGAAGGAAGAAAATACCCTACAACTCAAACGCCTTTTCGATTACATTAATCGATTATTAAATCAGATTTTGATACAAAGTCCATACTTTACGAAAACGATGATTCACTTACAGTGTTTATGTCCTGCAATCCAGATTTCTAATTAACAATTAGAACCTATCTTTTTTAATTATACAATTTTATTAATTAAATGATGAAAATGACTTTCAACAAAGACAAAATATTAGTTCGATAGCCTCTAAATATATTCTACGATAATAATAGTATGAAGCGCAAATTCCAAGCAAAAACTGCGCATAGCAACATGCACAAACGAGAATAACGATTTTACATACCTATTTGCAGGATATTTGGCTGCTAGGAATCCTCCGGGGATCTGAGTGATTAGATAACCCCAGAAAAAAGATGAGTCGATGACGCCAATCGTTTCAGGCGACCAGTTGAACTCCGGTTTCTAAAGAAGTAGAAAGGAGAAAAATAGTAATATTTCAAAGGAGAATAACAATATCTCAATAGTTTACTTTCAAATTTTTTTAATAAATATAACTAATCATGCCTTCCTACCCCGTTCATGTAAGGACAGAAACTTTACCAAGACTCGAATTTCCGCGATCATTTGTGCGATTTAAAAAAAAAAAAAAAAAAAAAAAAAAAAAAGTCAAATTATTTTCATAAATGTCCAACAATAAATCTACGAATTACTCAATGTTTTTCTGTAGTTTTTCACTTTCTATCACAATTGTTAAATAGTTTTCAAATTAAATAAATTTTATTGCACAATAAAACCTCGATTACTCGAGGTAATCGGAACCGCAGCCAACTCAGATAATCAAAAACGCAGTTCATGGAGACTAAATTTTAAACGCCCTTTTTATTTTGATAGGTTTTCTGGAATAGATTATTTGAAATTCTAGAAATAAGTCAGCAGAAATAGTAATAAGTTTGCATCTAGCATTTGTAGGGAAATTCGTTTTCATCTATATTGAACAATTTCGTCTGCACCATAACTGGTGTCGGTTTTCTTTTTCGACGAACTGTTCGAGAGTTGCAACAGGTTCCAAAAGCAGAATTTTTGTCAGCAGATAATATTTTATCTCCTAACATTTTGAATCCAATACCACTTTTTAAAATTTCCAATCAGTCTTGGTTCGTTGAAAAGGAAAGCTCATTTTCATCATTTAATGAAGGCTCGTTGTAAAGAAAAGAAAAGAATTTAGCTTTTCGTTTAGATTTTGAACATTTTCTTAGAGAATTCCCTTGAGCCCGTAACTGGCTGAAACACTGTCAATTTTTGTCATTGTTTTGCGTTTTAAGTGTTGAAATTTCAGTCAACGCTTTACGTGAGACAAATTTTGAGCAATTTTTTTTTCGTTTTTCGAGTTCAATCTCTAACATTCTTTTGCAGACTCCAAATTTAATTGAAACATTTTTCATTTAATGTTTGAAGTCTTCTTTTGTAAGAATGCCATTAAAAGACACGTCACTGATCAGGCAGGCCAAAGCGTGAATCACTGATAACAGAAGTTTCAAATATTACTGAATTTGATTGACTTTTCAATGATTTCTTTAAACTAATTGGCAGTTCGGTTAACCCTGACTTCGACTGATAAAAGCCCTGTAAATAGAAGTTATACTACACTTCCCGTCAGTGTTTCCACAAAAATATACTGCAAAGTAATTTTTTTCCAGAATACCAAACACGACACTGAACTTCGAATTATCTTGAGTCTTGTTCGACCTTAGGAATACGAGAAAAAGTTTTGGAATTGCTCAAAAAGTACTTCCGTTAATATCGAACGATTCATTGAAAAAATATGTATTTAAGGCAGAAAATTTGCCTTTATATTGTATCAAAACGAAATTCTATCTAATCTTTATTATGATCTAATATAATTTCAAAATTCTGCAATGTAATGTTTTTTTAGTTACATATTAATTATTTGTATTACTACTTTCCTTTTGGTAGACATTTCCCCTATTTCCAAATAAATCCTTGACTTCGAAATTCCTTATGTAAATTCTAAGCCATGAAAGTTTTGCGAATTTGCACTAGTGCTCCATACATTTTTTTCCTTTTCTCATCAATACGATTAACCCCCTAATCATAATTTACCGATATTCCTCAAAAGTCTGAAAAATTGAAGAAATTAACAGGATATTTAATATGCTTCGAAGAGGAACGGACGATAACGTAGGGATCTACAGCAACCTCAAACGCGCGAAATGGAGCATAAAACCCCATGCACATGCCTGTCCGATTTTGGAATCATGTTTGCTTGTTTATACAAAACTTCGGAAAAGACATTCCTTTTATTATTTAATTATGATTTGAAAAAGCATAAGATACTACAATTTGAAACAGGTAGGGTGTTTTTTCATTACTCTGTCATTTTTTAATGATCAGATTAAAACGCGGGAATTTTTACTTTCACACACGTAAGAGAGAAAGAAGAACTATACTGTAAATTTACAATGTGTGAAACATTTCATTATTAATTTTTACGGATTGTAGAGACTATTTATAATTAGACTATTTATATTTATTACTTTAGACTATTTATATTTATTACTTTAGACTATTTATATTTATTACTTTTTCGAACCTTTGAAATTGAAAAAATAGCCACGTTTCAATGATTCGAGCCACGAAACTTCCTACTGCTAGCCGAACGTACCATCAGTTATACAACGAGAGTACGCAAGAAGAAGGCGGTAATTCTTTATATTCTCCCTCTGTTAAAAGCGACTGGAGACCAGGTCAGCCAAATCTAGATGGCGACGAATTACCATGAATCATATTTTAATTGGATTCAGTTTTATAGTGATTAGAATTTTCAGAAACCATTCTTATCGGGATTGTCACATTGGGATTTGGCACTCGGGATTCAAATCTTGCAACTGTCAGTCAAGAAGGCTATCAATTACACAGTAAGACCATGCAGTGGGTAAGACGAAAATTCTGTGCATTTACTGTTAAGTTATTCAGAAGTTTTAGAGAAAGTTTGTCATGACCTCACCGGGATTCGAACAATGGATTTTCCTATTCACAGTCAGATGTGCTACCAGATATACCACGCACAATGGTAGTCAATAACTCCTTATAAGGTTATATTTTATTGTGACAAATGCATTGATTTAATATGCATGAGTCCTTAGATATTTTAATTATTTACACGATTAATTCTGGCATGCTTTTCTTATCAGATAAACTCTAATTATGTACGTCACCCAAATTTGCGTTACATGTAGCATTTGCTGCCTCCTAAGGTAAGTCTTGGAACATATTACTCGTGTATAAAGGAGAATTACTGTTTCACAAAATAATTTGATGGCTAACTATCAAGCTGGCAAAAGATATTACAATGCGAACCGATCGATCTAGTATTTGTCGTTCGGGATAAAATAATGTCTAGAATCATTTTTCACACGAGGTAAAAAACTATAAAAACAAAAATGCTGTTTTCCCATCATGAAAAAAAAAAAAAAAAAAAAAAAAAAAAAAAAAAAAAAAAAAAAACTTCTGAAATCATTCTTTTTCAGCTTTTCTCAAAATAAACATCATCATTTATCAGATTACAGCTTTCCGCAGCCTATAAACTGATAAATCTATTTAGCACATAACGCTGTCTAAGATTTCTCAGTTATTTTATGCCTTACAAGAGTTATTTCAGTAGTTCTGTCCCAATCATTTAATATAAATATAAATTTGCTTTAGTACACAATTCTTGTCCATTTAAATTATTTTAATTCTTAATGTTGATTAATACATGCGTACTTCTCATTATGTAAATAGTTGAAGAGTTATAAGACAGTAATTTTAGTAGTTTTATCCCTATTATTAAATGTAAAAATACATTTTATTTTAGTACACAATTTTCAGCCATTTAAATTATTTTAATTCTTGGTGTTGATTAAAAGAAGCATTCTTCTCATTACATAAATATCTTGCTTTCCAAAATTTAAGGAACAGCATGGTTTTGAAGGCTCACCATTTCAAAAATGTCAGTAACATTTAAATTCACAGTATATGCATGATAATAACGAAGTTTAAGAAAATGTATACAAAAACAATTACTACCACTTTTATTTTAGAGAAAGGGAATACTTATATAGGAGTTGGAGAAAAAAGACAAAACTTTGTTCACAAGTGCTGGTCTCCAGTTGTTATTTCCAATATCGTTGATAATATCCAGAAGAATCTATCAATGTCCAGAATAAGTCGTTTGCTGGATTCGTTGAGTTGGTGGGCCATCGCAGAGTAGGGATGTCACAAGTTGATACTGCTAGACATTTCAATGTCTCTCGTAGTGTGGCTATGGAATCAATTTAATGCGAGGATTCTGTGTCTAGAAAATATCTTCCAGGCAGACCTAGAGTTACAACACTTGCAGGAGACCGTTGCTTAGCTATTTCGGCCCGAAAGATATTTAACATTACAGTGCCTTAGCTCATGGCAGATCATTTAGTGGCAACACGAATATTTTTTTTAATTTTCCAATGGCAGATTATGAACAGTTACAGCAAAAAAAACAAGAACAAAGAATATAGAATACAGCAATACAATGAAAAAAAAATTGCGCAGAGTAGGACAGTGGGGCGCATCCATCACCTCTCCAGAACTGCACACAGTGCATATCGGAGAAGGAACAATTTTGAATCTATGAAGTTGATATTGTAGACATTTATATCCGGTGGCAAGGCGGAATTCAGCGACCTCTCTACGCCTTGGGCCATTAAACAAATTCGGGATAGCATTCTTCCAAGACTTACGAGAAACACGATGATAGAGATCTTCCCGAGCACGTACTTTGAAAGATCTTTTAATAAGATCCCTAACAGTATGGAAAGGCAAAGGACGAGAAATATTCTGCATGGTTAAAGCACCTTTTTTTGCCAAGAAGTCGGCTTTCTCGTTATCTGAAATCCCTAGTTCTATCCCTATTATTTAGTATAATAAGACATTTTGTTTCACATTTCTCACACATTTAAATTATTTTAATTATCAGTGTTAATTAACACATGCTTACTTCTCATTATGTAAATAGTTGAACAGATTGTTTGAATAAAATTAATGTCTTTTATTATATTTCAACCAGTTAAAACATTTCTTGTTATTACCTCGCGTTATAACTTTTCTAGTAATAAGATGTATAAGTAATAACTTGGTAATAAGATGTATAAGTAAGTAATAACTTGGTAATAAGATGTAGTCTTGCTATAACCTTTCTTGTAATTGTAAAATACCAATGCTAATATTTATTAATATTTGACGTATATTCTATGAATAATAAACACTAGATTTTTAAAAGTATTACAAAGATGTACAACAATAATTTATACATGAAAAGAATCGAAAACTCATGAAACTTTTCTCTCGAAGTTACGAATGACCTTTGTATGTCCTGTTGGTAACATGTCAAAGCTAAAGACAAGTTCGGCCTATATATTTTCAGC